GATGAGAATTGTGGAAAATAGAAAAGTTTTCAGAGTTCTGAAGTTGTGTTAGTTGGAAAAGAAAATACTAAGAATTAGGAGTGTCCAAGAGTGTTTGAGTGAGAGTCTTGAGTACAGTCCAAAAGTGTAATTCTTGTGTCCCAGTGTGTTTCAGAGAGTCTTTTCCAGTCAGAATCCTCCTCTCTTCCCTTTGTCCTTACTTTTAAAGGGGCAAATTCTCTGCACGTCACTAGTCGATAGGACCAATAGGGAATTGTAGGTGTTTCTTCCCTACAGACTATCATCTAGTTTTTGGTCAGTAGGTGGTGCAATTACATCACAGAAAATTATTGTCAGGGGGTCCATTTACCTTTTTGTATAATGGGTCAACTGAATTTGGTGATGTGTTTGACGTAATTTTGTTATCTTTTTATGGCCACTATACATCACAGAATCTGCCATTTTCAAAGCTTTTTCCCAGTCTGAGTGTCTGGGATATACCGTAAAATCTAGCTTTTTGACATATCTAAACTCTTCACCTTTTTCTTACAATGCAATTTTGTAAAATTCCGTTTTTGTTTTTTTTAGAAAGTAAAATTAATTACTAATGTTATCTGTCATTTGGTGTCTGGTTTTCTTGTGTGAAACTGTGTTTAAGATTATTTATACTCCACTAACATTAGTAAATAATATAATATTATTTCTTCATTGATATTATAACCATGAATATTCTATATTATTAACATATATATGATTAATATAATAATAGTAAATAATAAGTGGATAGTGTGTGTGTGTGTGTGTGTGTATATATATATATATATCAAAAAGGAAAGAGATGCACTCTCAGGTCTTTGTAAAAAAACTCGATATTATTTCATAACAGGTAACATACATCTGATCGACGTTTCGACCTCTTCAGGTCTTCCTCAAGATCCCCATTTTGTCTTAGCCTTGTAATACAAAATGGAGTCACCTCTGTTCTGAGGGTGACTAGTAATATACACTTTTAATTTCTGTCTTAACACAAAATGTCTGCCAGTATAAATATATTAGTCTATGAATAAGCACTTCAGAAGTTACAAGACAAATTGTGTACTCATATCACTTCTTCTGGTGTTAGGCCTGTGCGTAGGTAATTAATGTTTTTGAATATCGTTCTACCTGTAAGAGCTTTGCACCTTACACTTAGTACAATCAACCATAATATCATTATTATCATTGTAAACTCAATAACAATTTTAACATAGATGAACCAGTCAACACGAGCGATAAGGTCAGTATCAGAGTACTTAAATGTGTCCACAGAAATATTATCTTTTCTGATTGACATTTGGATAGTGTGGTTGGGCTTATGGTCTAGAAAGAACTTTAGTTTAGGATCTAGTGGGATATCTAGATTCTGGAAGGGATCCACCATCTCAATAGCACTTTCAATGATGTCAGTGTACACCGGGTATAGCGTAACATCACCGATGGTGATACTAGAGTCATGGGGTACCTTGATCAGTGAGACAGGTGCTGGTAAGGCAATTACTTTATTAGTCACTTGGTCCCTGTGAAAAACATGTTTTTAAGATACGTGCTAACCAACCATTTATCTTTTACTAAGATGGCATGTACTAAAGCATTATCGTCGGTTTTGGACATAGTCACTCGACATGTTTCAGAGCCATGTTTAATGTACTCGATCCCACACAAAGCATTGGTAGAATCGTATACGAAAGATTTTCCATCGCACTGGAAATTATTGTCTTTGAATTTCTTGCAGTTATTCAAAATGGGTATTGAATACCAATCTGGTACCCACGGTTGAAAAGCCAAAACATTTGGGGTTTGAACTTTTACGTGGATATCTTTCTTCCATGTACCGACATTGTAAATTGTTTTCATTTGGTATGGCCAATAAAAAGCAAATCTCCATGCATTCAGGATCAATTAAGAGAGGTAGAGCACTCCCCATCTCAAAGGCCAGATTTAATTGCAAAGCTTCAATTGTCTCTCCATCCACACTGGCAAGCATCGCATGAACAATATCCTTGGATACAAAATACAGAGGTATGCGTCCACCTGCCAATTCAATCATTCTGGTTTGCACTTCGTCTAGAAAAGCAAGTGTTTGGAACAATATTGGGTCATGCAGAAATAGAAGTTCATGCTTAAATAAGTTGTGACTTTGGTGCAATTCAGTGGACTTGGCAATTAACTCTGAATGCCAATTTGTTGTAGAAACTGTGTCTTCCACAATAGTTAACATGTCCTGGAGAAGTGGTCTTTGCTGTTTTATCACCTGATGAATGTAACGGCACCCCCAGGCATAAAAGGGGTTAAACCGCCGTTTAGTAGATCTTCCCTTCCAGAGACACAGGCACAGCTACTGTAGAACACCAAACTCCCGAACCGCATATAAGGGAATGCTCTAAAATCCCAAACTGCATACAAAATAGCACTCCAAACTCCCGAATTGGAACCTCATGAACAGCTGCTAGCAGACGAATAGGAAAAGCACCCAAGCGGCTTACACTCCTAGCAATCAGTCTCTATCAGCATACAGTAAATCCCCCCAAAGACGAGACAAGGCTCTGTGTTGAGGGTCAAGCAGTGGTCTGGTTTAATGAGGGCTACCTGCCCAGTATTTATGCAGGTCTCCCACCTGGTGGACACTCCCCTAGGGGACCAAATGGGAGACCATGACAAAGGACAGACATGAACCAATGACAGACACACAGAGGTAAAACATCCCCACAATGCATCCTAACTTCCCTCCCTCTGTCCTAGATATAATTGGGAAGTAATCAAATTATCTCCCAGGACAGAGGCAAAACTCCATTAACCACATGGCAGTACAAGACAGTAAAAGACATAAAAATGTATAACGTTACAACTGTTGCACAAAACATATACATTCTACCTATCCCCAGATAGCTTAGATCTGAGCGCACAAAAGTACCGAATAGCGCTCAGATCCTATGCACACAGTCCAATCGCCGTGGAGTCAAAGTGTTCACAAAGTCTGTTCTCCATACGAATAGACTCCACGGGATGGCTATCTGGGGTAATGCTGTTCATACGGTTTAAACTACCGAATGAACAGGCATCCGGTTAAATGACCGAATACAGAAGCAAGGAGGCTGACTGCTCAGCGGTGTTCGCGCAAATAAGTGTCCGTTTTCAGTTCCATGAGTTGGGCGTTGAACAACGCTGTGCGTTCGCATGTTTAAAATGGCCACAACCTCGTGTTTGGTATACGAATGGCGGCCATCCAGCATTCGTCAATTAAGCTGAGGTTAACCGCAGCTTCTGGGAGGTTAATTGCCGACACACTCCAGCTCCCAGGTGGTTCAGTTATTCGTGCGTTAGTTCGGTAGATTGAATCTACCGGCCGCCGGCCAGAAAGTCACGAATAAGCCTTTTCTGCAGGGGAAAATAAGTCTTTTAACATAGGGCCATCATACAAAGGCAACAGGCGAGCCACCAGGCTTCTCCAATGCAATGCGGCGAGATTGGTCTCATCACAATGAATATCATTAATGTGCTGCTTTAGTGCAAAGATTTCTGTAACGGCACCCTCAGCATAAAAGGGTTAAACCGCCGTTTAGTAGATCTTCCCTTCCAGAGACACAGGCACAGCTACTGCAGAACACCAATCCGCCGAACAGGAAACCATATGAATGCTGTAAACAGCCGAATAGGAAAAACCATACGAATAGGTTTACACTCCTAGCAGTCGAACTGGAACAGCATACAATAAATCCCCCCCAAGAACGAGACAAAGCTCTGTGTTGAGGGTCAAGCAGTGAACAGACAGACCTGTGGGTTTATTATTCTTATATACACATTCTTACACATTAGTACCACCCACAGGGTTTTACACGACAACCAACCATAAACGTACATTACAGAAACACTCCCAGCAATTACACATAAAAATCCTCCCCTCTGCCTGTGATATAATTATGTTACACAATGGTTTAATAATTAACATAATTAACACAGGCAGTAAAAATACAATTTTTATCCATACAATGTAACTTTAAAACTATACATCCAATATTAATCAAACTTACATATTATTAATCAGCACACTTAAAACATAAACATAACCAAAAATCAGACAAATCCATCCAGGGGTTAAAAAGTTAGCTGGAGGTCCCTTTATGACCGACCGCAAGCACATTTTCCTGCCCAAAACAGTTCCATAGATTTGGGCTGTGCGGCCGTCCATTTCAGGCTGAAAAAACAACTAAGTCCCATAGCCGATTGGAACTTAGTCTCTGCAGCTAAAATCAGGCTGAAAAAACGGCTGAAAAAATGACTAAGTCCCATCGCCGAATGGGACTTAGTCTCTGCGGCTGTAAAATCAGTATGGGAGAAGGTAGGGCTCAGCGGTATTCGCGGAAATGTGTAGCCGATTTTAGTTCCATGAATTTGGCTACACATACCGCTGACCTCGTTCGCATTAACAAAGATGGCCGCCGCCACGTGTTCAGCAAACGAACAAAGGCCACCCAGCATTGTCAATTAAGCTGAGGTTAACCGCAGCTTCTGGGAGGTAAACTGCCTGCACACTTCGACTTCTGGGTGGTCCGCCTGTGTGGTACTTGGTTCAGTAAGCCCCATTTACTGAACCAAGTGGGAAATAGCCAGGCACAAAGAGTTTTAACCAGGTCTGGGGAGACAGGGGACATCGTCTTAATGGGGTAGTGTCCCAAACAAGTCTGGGGACACCGTCTTAAAGGGGCAATGTCCCATTCTTCCTGATGTCCCAAAAAGGTGTTTAAAGGGCCAGCACCAGTCCCATAAAGAGTCCATAAGCCACAATATGCCCACTGGCTGTCTTAAAGGGCCATACACACCCAATACAAGTGCATACGTTTTCACCATCTCCCAGGGGCCATAGTCATGTGGAAGGAGGCTGGCCAATAGGCTTCTCCAATGCAATGTGTTGAGACTGGTCTCGTCACAATTTCCATATCCAGTTTTTGGACAGTAATAGAGTTGGCTGCAGACATTCCACTTGCGACAACTGCACCGACAGTGGCACAAACCAATGCAACAATTATAGCGATGAGGAAGCTTTTGGGTCGGTTGCTCATCGGAATAGTACTGGAAACAAAAGGTTTCTGGGCTTGCTCCAAGTTGTTTTGCACACGGTCCTGTGCTCTTTGGAGGTGCATCTGGTACCAGGTTTGTAACTCAGGAAGCTGCATCGATGAAATTTGGTACGCCTTCCCGAAGGAAATCTTGGGGTCCAAGCTGACAAACACACATTGGGTCAGGATCCTCTTCTCTGTCAAGATGAACCCTAGTGTCTCCTGAATCAAGATGCCAGAGGATGGTGTGATCTCTGTGATCGGATCGTCCGTATCTCTTGGCACAGGAGCAGTTACTGTCTTTTGACAGTAACGGATCAGGAACTCGTCTCAGACTATGTTGGATACAGAGTATTCAAAAATACACTCTTCATGATTGTGCTTACTGAATATGGATGTAACATACCATATTATTATTATTATTATTATTATTATGATATTTATATAGCACCATCAAATTCCGCAGCACTTTACAATGGGTGGACAAACAGACATGTAGTTGTAACCAGACAAGTTGGACACACAGGAACAGAGGGGCTGAGGGCCCTGCTCAATGAGCTTACATGCTAGAGGAAGTGGGGTAAAATGACACAAAAAGGTAAGGATAGTATTAGATTAGTGACAGTTGCAGAAGAGGAATCAGTCAGGAGCTATTAACAGTTTAATTGATACGCTTTTATGAAGAAGTGGGTTTTTAATGATTTTTTGAAGGAGTGGAGACTGGGTGAGTATCTAACGGAGGAGGGAAGCAAGTTCCACAGGAACAGTGCACCCCTCCAGAAATCTTGAAGGCTAACATCAGAGGTGGGAGTATGGACAGAAGATAGACGTAAGTCTTCAGAAGATCGTAAGGGCCTAGACGGGACATACTTGTGTATAAGGGAGGATAGATAGGTGGGAGCAGCATTATGTAGAGATTTAAAAGCAAGAACCAGAATTTTAAATTGAGCTCTATATTTTATAGGAAGCCAATGTTGGGACTGACAGAAGGGTGAGGCATGGGAGGTGCGGGTGGACAGGAAGATGAGCCTCGCTCCCACATTCATTATGGACTGTAACGAGTTGGGAGCACGTAAGACCACTGAGAAGCGGATTATAGTAGTCAAGGCGAGAAAGGACAGTGGAATGGACCAACACCTTAGTCGCATCTGGCATTAAGTAGGGACGGAGGCGCGCAATATTTTTGAGATGGAAATAACAGGATTTGGCGATAGATTGAACATGAGGCTTGAAGGAGAGGTCGGAGTCAAAGAGAACACCTAGGCAGCGAGTCTGCATGGTGGAGCTGATGGTTATTGAGAAATGACACAGCATATGTGATAACTTTTGTTCATACATCTTTGAACATTGTATTTCAGAAAACCTTTAATGAGAAGAATTAAAAAAAATAGTCAAACTGTGGTACCTGAACATCATTTGGCTACCATTTAATGTTTAGTGAATCAACCCATTCAATAGTAAAGTTAATTATTGGTCATTCACAGACAAAGAAGTTCATACTTCCATATAAATGTAAGATATTTCTAATTCTGAAGTGCCAACAAACTCCACAGCACTGTTCGATATGTCTAACATTGAGCTCTTTCGTAATTATTACCACCTTTTTATCTGTAACCTTCCTATGTAAAATATTTTAAAAGCTACACTTAATACATTCTGAAATGGTAAAATATTTCTATTGCTTTCTAAACAATGCTGTTGGACTCTACATTGCCCTAGTACACCTGAGAAGCTTACACTTTTTTTTTAATGATATGCCATTTTTTTTGATATACCATATTAATACATTTTTGAATGAACACTTTAAGATCTCAAATTAATATCCACAAGGATTTGAAAAAAATACATATGTCATAGGTATTAGGACCAAATAACACCACAAACAAAATCTTCTAATAACTCATTGACGCTCATAAATGTGCATCAAATGCAAAGAAAAGTTAAAAAAAACAAAGGCATTGGCACTCACAGTATTATCTTCTTGAAAGATAGACTGTATTATATATTTTACAGTAAAATCAGCATTATAATCATGATATATCACCATACAACATATAATATCTAATAAAGTCAAAATCAGAGTGGAATAAACCATATAAATATAATTGAAACACCAATGAGATTAGTATAAGCGATTTTCTAACATATAGCAGGTTCTTCTATTTTCCTTAATACTGTTGTTGGAACAAAGTAAAAACGGCTTAAAGAAACGTTGTTGGCACCCAGATCACTTCATCTTCATGAAGTGATGTGGGTGACATTTACTTTCTGTAGGAATGCCAATGCTTTCATTGATGTTGTAAATTGATTGTCATACTGACAGCCACTAGAGGCACTTTCATTGAAATAGCAGAGTAAATAGCAACTATTGCATAGAGCCCATCTAATTGGATACGGTGTGGTGTTTTGCTTTCCTGTAGGAAAGCATTGGATTGGCCTGATCAAACTTACATTTTTAACCCTTAAACATGTCTGAAAACTTTTCTACCTTAACATTTGGAAATTTGAAATTCCTTTGATAATACCGGATTGGTAAATAACGTTGGCCTCAATTTAATAAGCTTTACAAATGGTTCAATACTGTAACAAGAAATTCCAAAATGATTTGTCTACAGACGTCACCATTAAAGTCTATGGGCCTTTTTGTAGATCAATCATTTAAAAAGCTTATTTAATTGAGGCCAATGTCTTTTATCTCATTTTCTTTGGGACAAGTTCAGTAATGTATTAAAATTACCTCAAGTGAGAGCCCTTGCTAATGTGCCAATAATTCTTCAAATGTTCCAAACATTATATTTTCTACTGAAAAGAAAATCGTGTTGCAGTTTAATTCACTTATATGGCATGTATTCTCTGACAATTCACACATTAACCCTTCTTTTAATGTATAATTTAATTGGATGAATAAACTATTTCAGTAGCATTGAGGCATATTTCTTTATTTGAAAAGTATCAATTTAAAGTTTTGAAATTACATATTAGTGATCAAATTTTTAAAACAAATTAGCTGTGTAATATGCTTTCAGAAGTAATGAGATGGAAACACCAATTAAGACTTTACAATTTCAACATTTGACTTTAAATAAATAAGATCATCTGTCATATGCAGAAGATAAATTGTAGTTTCTCTACTGTATTTGTTATGAAAACATTGCATAATCGTATAATAAGAATGGCGGGAGGGAAATGAGATACAGAACTGACAAACAGCCAAAAAGAGGAATTAATGACAAAATAGTTACTAATTATTACAGAATTAATAGCAAATATGTGTGCCTATTAACATTAAATATTTCATCATTTCAGGACCCTCTTACAAGGAAAACTTCAAGGTCTACTTTTCTTGCCATTTGTGTACTTCATTTAACACTTCACTTATCAGCTCTCCATCCAGAGCAGAAATTACTAAAAGGTGACCATAGAAAACATTGCGTAATCATAGAGATCACCTAGGGACCAGGCGTCAGACAGGGACCTGGAGTCATGAAATTGGTCCTATTCACTATCAAACCATGTTGTGTCATTTGTCCATTTGTAGCAATAAGAGCCATTGCAGTAGCATGAGCTCCCAATAAGTAGCTTATTAGAAGTAGACTTTCAGTAGGAAGCCTCTAGAAATGTAGCAGATATTTACATTACTTATAAAACACTCCAGATACAGCTTGGAGCAGTTGTAACACATTCTGATGTTTTTTAGCTTGTCACATTCAAATACAGCAGGAGACAATGACAAAGGAGAGTAGATCTTATGGGAGACTTAACAACAGTCTTAACTGACTTAACAGAAAAGTAAGAGAACCGGAATGATAAAAGCACAACCTGCTAAAAGGATCACAGTCAGAAAAAGGTAAGTCCTACACACACAGTAAAAATTACATACATTTTAAATGAAGTCCAGCCACATTGAACATAATGTCCAACCAACATTAAACCTCACCTTGTGGGGAGCCACAGGATCTGAGTTGAGTCAAATGGAGTCAAGTTATTCCATTGCTTCAAATGTATGCCATTTTGTTCAATAACTAAAACTTAGGTCTGACTTGTGATTCTTAAAAAAGGTACTTAGCTGAAGAAGGTCTTCCAATTAGTGCACTGTTTTCTTCCTGTGTTTATGAGTAGTGATGTCACGAACCGTTCGCGAACGGCTCGTCACGAACCGTTCGTGGCGAGCTCCGGTCAGCTGACACATCCCGGCCAATCTCCAGCAGACCCTCCCTCCCAGACCCTCCCACCTCCTGGACAGTATCCATGAGGTTGGATGCTGTCCAGGAGGTGGGAGGGTCTGGGAGGGAGGGTCTGCTGGAGATTGGCTGGGATGTGTCAGCTGACCGGAGCTCGCCGCGAACGACATCACTATTTATGAGCTAATATAATATAAATACCTATAAATAATATACAAAGTATTAATTAATAACTGTTGTGAATCTCCTGAATGTCTCAAGCTGGAACATGGAAAGTCCTCCAAGGGAACAGTAATGCCACCATTGGAGGTCAGTTGCCAGCAAGCTATGTGTGCTGATAATGGACATGTTTTATGCACATAATTACCAAAATCCAACACTGTATGTACAACATTTCATACCGAAACTCTGCACACACACACACAGGCTCCTTGCACCATGGCCACTTAAATTCACTGAAGTGATCGTGGTGCTTAGAATAACCCTTTAATGCATGTAGGAGAGTGTTAGAAGCTGAGTTATTAAGAAAGGAAGATGAGATTAATGTCAGTTACTACACTAGTTAATATTTCTGAAATTGTTGTACCAGTTTAAAGTTTTTGAAGTCAACTAATCGTGCATTGGTAACAGCAGACTATGCATACAATGAAATCAATTGACACTTACATTGCAATACATAAGAATGGCAGAAGAAATTAGCAGGATTTTTTTTCCAAGACTTTACTGTGCCAGAGGGTACAATAACAGTTTCTTCATGTGTATACAAAATAAATATTTAATTTGCATGGTTAATTTTCTTCAGACAATACTGGCAGAGATTACTAGATTGAAAAAGGTTTCAAAATAAAGATAACTCATTTGGTTAATTAGTCTCCTTGTTTTAAGGATACTACTCTTGTGCTAGATATGCCAGGTGTAAAACAGACTTATATTAAAGGTTATTTTATTGAATAGCTGGGATTTCAAAGTCAACCGGAGTACATTGCTGGTGTTTTGTTTGTTTTTTCTTAAAAATTCCATGTATTTATTGATTTTACTGATTCCCTAACAATTCATACCTTTGTGAATAATCCTAATTAAGTTTTGGTGAACTGAAAAAATTGCAAGGTTTAGGCCTGA